CCCCAAACCACCAGATTCGCATGTAAGAAAGAGCAGGTGAGGCATCTACTCTATTGAAACGCGCGTCGCAACTTACCCCGGAGTTCACGAAAAAATATGATGCCGCGCATCAAGGCGCTGGGATACAATACGATCCAGCTGATGGCGATCATGGAGCATGCGTACTATGCCAGCTTCGGGTATCAGGTGAACAACTTCTTTGCGGCGAGCAGTCGGTACGGGACGCCGGAGCAGCTTAAGGAGTTAATTGATGTGGCACATGGGTTGGGGATTGTGGTGTTGTTGGATGTGGTGCATAGCCATGCGTCGAAGAATGTGTTGGATGGGTTGAATATGTTTGATGGGACGGATGGGGTGTATTTTCATAGTGGAGGGAAGGGGGAGCATGGGCTGTGGGATAGTCGGTTGTTTGATTATGGGTCGCATGAGGTAATGCGGTTTTTGTTGAGCAATTTGCGGTTTTGGATGGAGGGGTATGGGTTTGATGGGTTTCGGTTTGATGGGGTTACGAGTATGCTGTATACGCATCATGGGATTGGGACGTATGTCTTTTCTTTTCTTTTTTCTCTTTTTCCTTTCGTTTCTTCTTTTTATTTCTTGTTCTACTATTTTATACTATATATACTGACTATAATCCAGGGGCTTCTCCGGTGGATACCACGAATACTTCGGCTTCAACGTTGATCAGGAGGCTGTAACTTACCTCACTGTTGCCAACGTAATGCTGCACCAGATATACCCATACTGCATCACTATCGCAGAAGACGTCTCTGGCATGCCGGCGCTGTGCCTCCCCTTTTCCCTTGGCGGGTTGGGATTCGATTACCGCCTCGCCATGGCGGTACCGGACATGTACATCAAGATGTTGAAGGAGCAGCGGGATGAGGACTGGAACATGGGACATATCTCACACACACTGTGCAACCGTCGACACTGCGAGAAAACGATTGCTTACGCAGAGAGCCACGACCAGGCGTACGTCCACTCCTCCCTCTAACCCCGTGAAACAAGACTAATTTATCTAAAACTACAGCCTCGTGGGCGACAAGTCCCTCATGATGTGGCTCTGCGACAAAGAACTCTACACCCACATGTCCACCCTAACCGAACTAACCCCCGTGATCTCCCGCGGGCTCTCACTGCACAAACTCATCCGCCTAATAACCCACTCCCTCGGCGGCGAAGGGTACCTAAACTTCGAAGGAAACGAATTCGGACATCCAGAATGGCTCGACTTCCCCCGCGCCGGCAACAACAACAGCTATTGGTACGCACGGCGCCAATTTAATCTAACTGAAGACCCGCTGCTGCGCTACAACTTCCTCAACGACTTCGATAAAGCGCTGCAGCATGCGGAGGGGAAGTATGGATGGCTGCGGTCGCGGCAGGGGTATGTGAGCCAGAGACATGAGGAGAATAAGGTGATTGTGTTTGAGCGGGCTGGGTTGGTGTGGGTGTTTAATTTCCATCCGGAGAGAAGCTGGGCGGATTACAGGATTGGGGTTAGTAGGAAGGGGGTGTATAGGGTTGTGTTGGATACGGATCGGGAGGAGTTTGGGGGATTTGGGAGGGTCGATGGGCGGACGAGGTTTTTCAGTCAGGAGGTTGCTTGGGATGGGAGGGAGGATTCGATTTTGGTTTATGTGCCGTGTCGGACGGGGGTGGTAAGTCTACTGGCTTTTCTTCCCGGCTGTTGGTATTGATTTGAGGTTGTTGCTAACTGATATGGCAGGCGCTGGTGTTGGAGGAGGATACCGTTGAGTAGGCTGGTAGATGTGGCTCTCTCTCTCTCTCTCTCTCTCTCTT